TTTATTTTATTCTTTTGTGATTTTTTTTACATGGGTGCTAAAATATGAATTGATTTGATTTCATATTTTTTTATAGATGGGTGCTGAGATATACGACCCTCGATTGTATATCGATCCTGGCCCAAGGGATCGAAGGTATTTAACCGGGCAAGATCAACATCGCTCCCGTGCAATTTGGAACAATAATCCGGTAGACACTAAAATTATTTTATTAGTTTTAAAGTTTTTATTTTGCTTTTTATTGACTGACAACATTGTGTTTTTTGTTTTGTAGGAATCACTTATTCCCATCAGTCATCGAGGGACATGTCGATTGCCCCATTGGCATGCTCGACTGGCGCCCTATCTAGAGAGGACGGGATTGCACATGCTGAGGCACTTCATGAGGTTTGATATTGACAAAGATTTCCTGACGGCAATGGCAGAGCGATGGCGCCCCGAGCTGCATACCTTCCACTTTCTCGAGGGTGAAATGACGATCACCCTCAAAGATGTTGCCATCCTCACCGGGCTCCCGATCACCGGAGATGCCATCATCGACAACTCGAAAAAACCGGAAGATGGTTGGGGGCCGTTGATTCAAGAGCGTTTGGGGTTCAACATGCCGACCACCACGCCCGTCGAAGGGGTTGGGCATCCACCACTAAATGCGGGGCAAGTATCGATCCCGTGGCTTGTTGAACACATCCATGAGGAGGTTAATATAGGCCCGGACACTCCTGAAGATCAGGTGAAGCGGTATGCACGTGTCTACCTAATTACCTTGGTTGGTGGGTTTCTGTTCCCCAACAAGGCAAGCCGGTGGATACAAGGTATGTGGTTACATATGCTCCTCGGTGACTGGGACAAGATCGGGAAAAAAAGTTGGGGGTCGGCCGTCTTGGCTGGGATCTATCGAGAGCTGTGTACTTGCTCGAGGTTGGGAGCGAAACAAGCTGGTGGTGCGATGTTCATAGTCCAGCTCTGGGCATGGGAGCATCTTCCATTTTTTGCACCTCGAGACCCACGGGAATTCTGGTTGCCAGATGATGAGCTACAATTTGTAGCAAATCCCCCATATGGTTTCAAGTAAGTAAAATTTATGTTAAATTTATTTTAGATCGATTCCAATTATAGTATTCTAACCAAATCGTATTGAGCGAATTTAGATTATCGCCAAGTAAGGAATTTTAGTTCAATTTAGATGCTTCCATAAAATCATACTTAACAAGTAAACATCTATGCTTTAAAAATTGCTTATATATGTACTTTTGCTTAATTAGGTGGATCGGAGCAAATACAAACGATCACCAGCCCGAGCACTCTTTACTGTTTTATCGTGCTGAACTTGATAAGCCTTGGGGGAACCAGGTAAAAATATAAAATTTCATCGTTTTCAATTTTTTAGGTGGAGTGGATATAACTTGTACTAATTCCATGAACTATAATGATTGTAGACGGTATGGGATCCATATCCACCGGAAGTGGTTGAGTTGCATCGTCTTAGACATCCCGAGGATGAAGAGACATGGTTGTGCAAGGTGCCCTTAATCTGCTGGCACATGGTGGAATGACACCTGCCCAATCGATCTTTGAGGCAATATCGATTGGAGCAACCAATTCCAGCATCCTCACCTCAAGGGTTCAGGGAGCTCCACGCCATCGACCTACGCTACAACAAAAAGGATTGGGTCCGCAAGCATGAATTCTACATCAACATATGGGAGAATAGAGATCAGTGGGTGGTCCAAGGGGTGCCGGAGACGAGGCCAATGGGGTACCACGATGGGTACATGCGGTGGTATCCGAAATTCACGCTAAGATGGGTGTCAAAGCAAGGTTCTGTTTGGGGCGCAGTGGTAAGTGAAATCCATTTTGCCCTCTTTGTCTTAATTTTTTGTAGTATGATTACATGCCATTATTAGCTAGAATGTTAATTAACATTATTAGATTTAATTTAGTTAATTTTGTACAAAAATTTATTAGGTTGACGGTTTGGAACATGCCAAGCCTCCAATGCCTGCTCCATGGATGAGCGGAAGACATCTTTTTTGGTGAGGCTTTTCAACAACCTGCTCTCTTGTACCCGAGAGCAAAGGATGGATGTCGTATTATACCCTCCAATGCCTGCTCCGGCCCGACCTTCATTCCGTGATGATGAGAGGATCGTGCCCTCACAAGAGCCCCCGCGGAGGAGCAGAGGAAGGGTGAGAGCCAACATTGAAGAGCTTCATCCGACTCAACAAACTCAACTTCCTGAACCATGGCCACATTGTGAGAGGACAACTAGTAATGAGGGCACCGGAGGGTCGTCAAGCTATATCCCGACTCAGGAACATGACATGTTCTACCATCATCAACAAACTCCGATGAACTATCAGACCCCGCAACAACTACATACAACATCGACTTTCTACCACGCTTCTGGTTCATCTCAGCAAATTCCACCACCACCACCTATGTACACTCCGGTGGGGGGTCGGGTTAAGAGGAATCCGCGAGCAGTTGTCCAGCGGGCTCGCGAAGAAGGAGGAGGTATGGAAGGCGGAAGAAGGGGTCGAGGACGTCGTGGAGGAAGAGGAAGAGGTAGAGAAGGGGAAGTGGAAGGAAATGAAGACAACCAGTGAAATATCCATGTTTAGTTATGTCTTGTGTTGTTTTCCATGAACTATCTATGTCGTCTTAATTTAGTTTGGTCTTGTGTTGTTTTCCATGAACTATCTATGTCGTCTTAATTTAGTTTGGTCTTATTTTCTATTCCATGAACTATCTATGTCGCCTTAATTTAGTTTGGTCTTATTTTGTATTTTACCACCCATGTTGTACCAAGATAAACAACATCCATCATCATTACAATCACTCAACAAGATTAAAATAAGAAGTCCAACTTAATGGTTCTTGCCACTTTTTTTTGCTTTAAGTTGCCGGTGATCATGTGAAAGTATGGTTGAGGAACATCTGTGGTTGTTCTCTACTGTCCGCATGACCCAGACGCCCTTTCTCTTCATATATGCAGCCCGAAGTTGCCACATACAACCCTCTCCAGCATTCTTACAAATGACATGCAGTTGTTTGGTGTCAGAATATTTTACCTTCCATTCGAAGTTACGCCGCATGGCTTCTTCGCTAAAAGCATCTTGCACATCGGCTTTCGAAGTGAACGCCATACCCACTTCCGAATTAGCAGTCGGATTATACACAGGCATGGGCCGAAAGTCAGGGGCATCGTTCTGACCATATAAAATTGATCAGGAACCTCTGTGTAGTAAGGCGTTGGTTCCTGAAGGAACGTCACCTCTCTGTCATCGATACCGTCGATATCGTCCGTATCTTCCTCCTCACTTAATGATCTCAAATCTTCCTCAATTTCATCGTCACTGGAGGCGAATGGATAGCTCGACTCAGGATGGTCATCGTTACCAGCATAACCAACATCGTCTTCTTGGTCATGCGAAGTACGCCCAGATCGAAAAGTGTTCTCAATGTCAGCCCACTCTGGACCCCAAGCAGGCCATTGATCACCGTCGGGCTGAACAATATCGACGACAGTCTCAGCATGTTGCGGGTATTCTTCCCACCCAACACCTCCTCCGTAGTTGCTTGAAGTACCCCCCCAGCCATACTCTACTGTAGAAGTACCTCCTCCGTAGTTACTTGAACTACCACCCCAGCCATACCCTCCTGCAAAACCATCATCACAAGAATACTGGTGAGAATGAGTTTCACCGACCGGCTCGGTCTCGACATACACCTCTGCAAGCCGCACCCCGTTGTCAGATAGGAACTGTATCATCATGTTCACCGCGTCATCATCATTTATGACAACTTTTTCGTACATGATTCCGTAAGCACTCATGTTTGGATACCGGTAAGTAATTTGACCAACTCTCCTTTGCCCGCCCGTACAAGTCCTTTCTGCACAAATCTCATGGAGTTCTTGCCACGTGAATCTCGACTCAATTTTTAGCATAGTGGATTCGCCATTTTCATAGTCGATCCCAATGTTCGAGTTTGTCACCCGACCATTCCACCGAATAATAAGCCAAAACTTCTTAAATTTACCCATGTCTGGAATTTATAATAATTAAGTATCGTATATAATTAGTACATTATGGATACAAAAACAATATCATCCAAACCCATAAACAAACGCAACTAATTGATCTATCATGAGAAAACTAAACAAATTCATCTAAATTCATAACTAACTAACTAACATCTATCATTTCATAATTAATCTAAATATCTCATAACATATTTGCCAATAACCGCAATTCACTAAATACAGACATATAATTACTAATACATCAACATGTAAACAATACATAATTATAACATACCGAATCCCGATGAGTTTCTTGAGCAGTAAACCAACTCTAAACCAGCTGAGAAAATGACGAAAAAAAACACTAATTTTCTTACTAATTTGCTGTAAGGCAGCAGGAGGGAAGTGGGGGTCGGGTTTTTATAAGGAAAAATGCAAGTTAATCACTGCAGTGGACAATTGCGGTGAACACATCACCACTTTTGTCCAAAACGGTGATAGCTAGGTCGCTGTGACCTAATTTTCCACCGATTAGGGCTCTAAAACGTTGTCAAATATCACCGTTTTGGTCGACGACGATGATGTAATCACCGTTTTGCACAACAGCGGTGAGGCAATCACCGTTTTGGACGGCAGCGGTGATACCTTCCCCGTTGTTTTCGAAAGTGGTGATACCTTCCCCGTTTTAGACTAAGGCGGTGATTATAATCACTATCGAAGACGAAGACAGTGATGTTGAACCTGCTGTACTTTGAAAAATAAATTTATAAGTACTATATTTAGAGAATTTTTTTAATAACTTGAGTATTCTGGGATTTTTTCCATATATTCAAGAAAGAAGACAAGCGGCAGCAGGTCAAATGGTCAATACCAGAATTTTTAACAGCGACACAGACATAATAATAATACTAATAAAATGCTTTCGGCAAGGGCTCATAGTCGTAGTCAAAAAATGGTAAGCGGAAAGTCACGGCACGCCGATTTAACTCACCGGTTCACTCACTCGCCGGCTGAGGAATGTTCTTGGAAGCCCCACTCTTATTCGTGCACTGCGCCTCCTCCACATTTCAATTCCCCCTTTCTCCCTCCCTTATATAACACAAACCCCTCAACCTCCTCTTCCCTTCATCTTCATCGCCTTCCTTCCCACCATAACAACAACTGCTCAGCTCTCTCTCCTTCCTTTCACTCTCAACTCACTTCCCACTACAATTCACTCAAAAAATGGCGGTTGCCCCAACCCCGGCCATGTTCGACGCCGCCGCCGAGAAGCTCACCTTCGAGATCTTCTCCATCCTCGAGAACAAGTTCCTCTTCGGCGGATACGACGACCCCAAACTCCTCTCCCCTGCCTCCGCCAAGCATTCCTCCAGCAGGGTTAGGATCCTCTCCATCGACGGCAGCGGCTCCACCGACGGAATCCTTGCCGCCGCCTCCCTCCTCCGACTCCAGACCTCCCTCCGCCAGAAATCCGGCAATCCCACCGCCGCCGTCGCCGACTACTTCGACGTCGTCGCCGGTGCCGGCGCCGGCGGCATCCTCGCCGCCCTCCTCTTCACCAAGGGGAACGACGGCCGCCCCCTTTTCACCGCCGAGGGCGCGCTCAGGTTCTTAGTCGCCAACCGGAAGCGGCTCAACCGCAAGGGCGGCGTCCTCCGCCGGATTTTCGGGTCGGGCAACCCGGCCCAGAAAGTGATGGGCCGGACTTTCGGCGAATCCACGCTCAAGGACACGATGAAGTCGGTGCTGATCCCCTGCTACGACCTCTCCACGCGCGCCGCCTTCCTATTTTCTCGGGCCGACGCCGTGGAGATGGACGGCTACGATTTCAAGATGAGCGACGTCTGCCTCGCCACGTCAGCCGACCCGCCAGTGGAGTTGCGGTCCGTTGACAGGAGGACCAGGATCGTGGCCGTCGATGGAGGGATCGCGATGAACAATCCGACGGCTGCGGCCATCACCCACGTGCTGCACAACAAGCAGGAGTTCCCTCTCTGTAACGGCGTCGAGGATCTGCTCGTCGTCTCCCTCGGTAACGGCGAGTCCAACTCCGGACCCGACGGCGTCAGTTACCGGTCCACCCCGGCCCGATTCGTTCGGATCGCGGGAGAAGGGGCTTCCGACATGGTACGGTTCACTCGATTAAACCAATTGATTAATAATTAATTCGAATTAGCTTAGCTTAAAACTGATGATTTTGTTTTGCTACTGATTGGGGGAAACAGGTGGATCAAGCCGTATCAATGGCGTTCGGTGAGTGTCGGCGGAGCAATTACGTCCGCATTCAGGGCAATGGGATGATGGGAAAGCAAACCCCCAAAAGCAAAAGAGGGATTAAAATGGCGGATGGTGGGAAAGCGACAGAGGAGATGCTGGCCCAGAAGAGTGTGGAGTCGGTGCTGTTCAAGGGGAAGAAAATGGCGGGGAGCACCAACGTGGAGAAATTGGAGTGGGTCTCCGGCGAGGTGATCAAGGAGCAAGGGAAGAGGAAGACCAGCATATTGCCGGCGGTGGTGTTGAAGCAAGCGGGGACGCCGAGGACTTCCTCGGCAACCACGCTGTCCTCATTGTCCTCCAGCTGCTGATGGAATTGGCGATGAATGATGATGGTTCTTGCTCCCCGCCACCGCCGCCGCCGCTCTGGGTCGGAATTCCACCGCCGGGGACCGACAGTGAGCTGAGCTGGGTGGGATTATAGAGAGTGCATTTTGAGATTCTTTATTTTTGAGGGAGGGTGTTTGTGTTATTTATTAATTAAGGTGAATAGTAATATTAGAATATACCTGAGTAAGTTGAGTGTGTGGGTGGCTTGTAATGTGTGCACTGAGTAGATAGAGAGCAGGTGGAACTGGAAATTTGATAGTGCAGGTAAATTTCTTTTACCGCGGGAAACCAATCTGTATATCTATGTATCGAAAATTTCATTTTAAAGTAATGAATCATCCTTATTATATATAGCTTTTTTAATACAATGTGCCCGAACTTGTATCATTCATCATTCGTTCCTTTACAAATCTCAAAGTATCATACATAAATCGATACATAAGATTGGTGTTGAATCTATTCATAGTGTAGCAACCATAATGTACATTGTGTCCTAGGTGTGGTAGGCGAACATCTCGCAGAAAAGCCAGTTTCTGACGAATTGTTGTGATGCGGATGTGAGTAATCGCAATGAAAGAGTTTTTTTCTCCGATAAGTGAACCTGTACGTAATTATATTAGTTAGCACAAACGGTTATTTACTGAAACACATCGTATAATTCTATATCATAAAAAAATTGAAGAATAATTGTTTGAGTAATTTGACAACGATCATCATCTTTTGAAATTATGTTGGAGGTTAAACCATCATTAAGCATATGACTAAATTAACGGAAAAGTAGATTGTTTATGCACAAGTAAAGGGGCATCATGGAAAAGGCAGTAAAAAGAGAATGGGGAAACGGTAAAGAAATTTGTATGTCCTTCCTTTCCTTTCCTTTCCTTTAAATTGAAAGATGAAGGGCGGTACCAGCAGCTAATTCCTTGTACCGAGGAAAGGAAAGATGGTGAATAATTATATGGTTACAACGGGCAGGCAGAGTTGCAGTGTGTTAGAGAGGAAAGGAAAGGAAGAAGTAAGTTTGTTGCTGAAATTGATTTGTCAACGAACGGAGAGTGGTCCTCCTGATTCCTCATTGTTGTTTTCTTCATTATGAATGAATCATGCACATCACTGTGTCTTTCCTACCCCCCCCCCCCCCCCCCCCCCCCCCTTTTTTTTACTAAAGTGGTCTCCCCTTCTCTCTTCTTTCTTTGGTTTATCCCTTTTCTGTTCAAATTTTATCCCGCGGGAAATTTGAAACAAGTCGTTCGACGGGACCTTTTTTTACGCTATAATGTTAGGTCGGGACATATAAGTAGGGGTGTCAAAGCGGGTTCGGGTTTTCGGTTAAACCCGAAACCAAACTGGTAAGCAGCCTTGTCGGGTTCGGGTTTTCGGTCCCAACACGAAAGTGGACTGTACCGGTTTCGATTTCGGTTTCACTTTAACCCGAAAACTTATAAGAACCCGAGAAAACCCAAAATTGCAGTTTGGGCTCTCCTGGCCGTCATCGTCATTTTCCTCGCCGCCTCCTGGTACTTCAAGCTACGAGGAGTTCATGGAGTCCACGAATTCATTTATGGGCCTGAGCCTCTTCGTCATGGCGGTCCTCCAGATCTTCAGAATGTCGTCGCGAGATCACCGCCGCCGGACACACCACCTCCTGCCGTCAGAAGGGAGCTCGCCCTAGGGAGTCGCCGCACTCATCGTGCCGCTTCGCCAGCCCTTCGCCGGCGAACTCCTCCTTTCCTTCAAGATCGAAGCTTAGTCGTCGCCGCATCTAGATAACTCAACCCTTCTACAATCTTGTTTTAGGGTTTCCTTGGCTTCGTCGATTCAGCTCCTGGCTTCATCGGCTTCTATTACTTTTGCCTTTTCGTTTTGTTTTCAAGAGCTGAATCCCTCCTTTTTCTCATGGATTTGGGCTCCTGGGAAATCCGCCAACATGCAGGGTTCAGGGGAAGGAGCTGGAAATCAAGAGAGGAGAGAGATGGAGTTAAGGATCCGAATGACTAGTGGAGAAAGGAAATCGATCAGATCCATCAAATTTTGAGAGAAATGGGTGGCCGGATTGAATGAGTGAGAGAAGTCACCGGCAGAGTAGATGAAGGGAAGGATGGGATTCTGGGTTTGTATTTGGGGTTAGTTTTTGGTTCTGGGTAGTGAGTAAGGACTAAGGACTCATTTTTGGGAGTGTAAAAGTGAAGCTAGCTGGGGCCGCTTCTCTAGTAAGGGATTACGGAAGGAGAAGAAGAGGAAGAGAAGGGTTTGGAAGGAAGGGGGGAGAGTGATCCAAATTTCCAAACCAAACCGTTTTCATCATTAATAGTTTCGGGTTTTCGGGTTGCATGTACCAAAACCGAAAACCGTCAGTGGACTTTTCGGGTTCTGGTAACCGAAATCCGAAATCACCAATCTCAGGTCGGGTTCGGGTTTACAGCTAATGTATTGTGTGGGTTTTCGGGTTTTGGGTTCGGGTAACCGACCCGAACCGACTCCCCTACATATAAGAAAAGCCAACCCACAACTAAGATTTCCCAATGCGACTACGGGCTTACATGTCCCGCCCAACTAAGATTTCCCAAGCCCACCACAGGCTTCAGTCCCATAAGTTTTGCGCCATGCCTCTTCCGCACCAACCTTCCCACCATTCACGAAAAAATAATATGGATTTCCTTCCGTATAATAAATAAAAAATAATAATAATCTACACATAATATAATAGCAGCAAGGAAAAATTAGGAGCCCCATTTCAAAATCTCTGCTCCAGGAGCGTTTGTAGGAAGGGTTGTATATGAACTCTTATTTGGACCGGGCCAACTTACAGTATACAACTGGCCTGAACTGCCGCCTTGAAAAACTGTTGGCCTTCCACCGCCCTAATTTCGGAACTAGCAGCGATGGAGACTAAGTTTTCTTGCCACTGTTGATTCCTCATATTTCCGACCACTTTCTTCCTTTTGCAGTTGTAGGATATGTCATTGGATTCAAGGTTCATCCAGTAATAAGTGGGGTCGCCATGGAGTAGTTCTTGCAGCACCTTCCAAACATAAGGTTGCCCGTCATCATCTCCATCTTCTCCTTCCAGCTCGGTTTGACTTTGTTTTTGCTTTCTGTTAAAAATTTTGTCAAGAATTCATAGGGATAGATTTTTCCCCGCCGGATCGACATTCCAGCTGTGAATTTCAGCCTTTAGTGTTGTGATTTTATAGATTTCCTTCGGTCGGCGACCATATTGAATGATGATATAGGCATTAACATGTATGATGACCATGACTGATATGCAGTGACCTGTAGGATAGAATTATGGTTGCTGGTATTTTAATTGATTACTCTGGTACCAAATTACACCCCATGTTTGTGGCTCACTGTTGCAAGGTATATTAGGGTTATGAGATTATTCTTGGTGATTTTGCGATGATATAAATTACTGGGGTTTGATAAAAATTGGGAATTAGACTATTAATCTATTCTGATTGCTCGGCGAGAGTTGCAACAAGGAATTTCGATAATTAATGCATTTAAGTTCAGATGGGCCGAGGGGATTGATCCTCCCATGTTCTGTATGCTGTGGTGCTTTATTATTGCATATAGATGTTTTGTATGCTATTCTTTTCGTACTGGTATACCTTACTGTGTCATTCTAATTGAACACTTTGATAACGTAGGTGAAGACACATCTTCAGCAACCTGCTACCTTGCTCATTCTTTTAATTTGTAAGATTTCATCATTGTTAGAACTACTCACGGAACGACGTTGTAAGACTATTATTTGGGGACTTCATCATTTCTCAGGGTTAATTGCAAGTTCGGTCACTTAGTTTACTAAAAAGTGTCATGTTTAGTCACTCGAAATATTTAATTCCAATGTTGGTCACTTGAATTAGTAAAACGATCCATGTTTAGTCACTCTCCGTTAGTCTCCGTTAACACCGTCAGTCAATTGCTGACGTGGCTAACAAAAGTGCAGACTCAACCAATTTTAACCCGCCACGTCATCAAACCCGACCCATCACGTCACTCAACCCGCCACATCAATTTCCCAATCTAACTTATAAACCAACCCATCCAAACCTGTGACTAGAGCCGAACGTACGATTCAGATCCAACCCCATAAACATTAGAATTTCTTAGTTCACTTGCAGCCCTCTTACTTTCGTCTCCTTGCAGCAACTCTCAAACCAAACCCCCAATGATGGCGACTACCAAAACCTTCTTCAAGCCTCTTCCTTCTTCTGGATCCAAATCCCTAATTCCTTCAACCTTCAGATCCCCAAATCTGCACTGCATACCACATTCTTTAGCCAAGCGCATGTCTTCTCTTGCCATCAGAGCTTCCGCGGCTGCAGTTCCCTGCCCCTCCGACGACGCATTGCATCCCAAGTTCCCAGAGCATTTCAGGGTCAAGATCATGTTCGAATCCCTCCCATACATCTAGTGATTTAGGGGCAAAACAACCATCATGAAGTCCGGTGCCGCCGCCATGATAGACCAGAAGTTGAAGGCCTCCGTCATCGTCTCCTACGTCGGCCTCCACCCAATCCTCGTCCACGGCGGAGGGTCAGAGATCAACAGCTGGCTCAAGCAGATCAACATCGAGCCCCTTCTCCATGAGAGCCTTAGCGTGATTGACGCCAAGACGATGGAGATCCACAATGGAAATCCTTTAATTTCCTCCGCCTGGTGCTTGGAAGAAATTCTAGTGACCAGAAATGTCGAGAGTCTAAGAAAGCTTAATCGAAAGCTATTGGTGATTTAAGTATAGGAAACCTTATTCAATATTACCTTTCTCATTTCAACGAAGGAGCATAAGGAGCTGGACAGGGTGAGATAGTGATATGAGGTAGCTGTGCTATCAAATCACGAGTTTGGATCTGAATCGTCCAGGCACCAGGCGGAGGAAACTAGAGTCGGTCAGATCTGGTCACGGGTTTGGAAGGGTTGGTTTATGGGTTGAGTTGGGAAAATTGAGGTGGTGGGTTGAGTGATGTGGCGGGTCGGGTCTAGTGATGTGGCGGGTTAAAATTGGCTGAGTCAACACTTCTGTTAGCCACGTCAGCAATTGATTGACGGTGTTAACAGACACTAACGGAGAGTGACTAAATATGGACCGTTTTACTAATTCGAGTGACCAACATTGGATTTAAATATTTTGAGTGATTAAACATGACACTTTTTAGTAAACTCAATGACCAAACTTGCAATTAACCCTCATTTCTCATCCATTATGTTGGTTTCCTGTTGTTTGGGTATCCATCTTTTCCCCTTATGTTTCTCTTCTTATTACTACCACGAGTTCCTTTTCTAAGAAATGATGAGAATTGGCTTTCCCTTCTCCAAAAACTCATATACATATTTTGGCAGATGACTTGATTTTTCCTTCCTTTTCTTATAATGATAATTGTGCAGGGTTCCTTCAATATGCAAGTGATTAATATCATCACTGTTTTCTCCCCTTTAGGTTGATAGATAGATCCATTCATTCATATTACTTAGTTTCCTTCTCTAAAAAGTACTCTGTGAATTTCAAATATTCAAGTGCTTACATTACATGTAATTTTAGCAAGGAGGCATTGGGGTTCATAGTTCATAGTCTTCACAGGAAAGGTTATAAGAGAGGGTGAGAGTAGACAGAGATAGATTGAGCAAAATAGTGAGTGTAAGGGGTGAAAAAAAAAGAAACATAAAGTTCTCGGAAGACTATAGAGGATGTTGGTTGATTGATCTAGCATATTATACTAGCAGCTCAGGACAGAGTTAACTCTCCGACAAAAAGAAGGACTTGGCCAAAGGTAATTGTATACTAATAACGATGTATTTGCACATGTTTGCACACTTAGTTCTTATCCGTTTGCGGCTCGTATTCGTGTATTGGTCCGTTTTATGCTGGGTTGTGCTACTTTGTCATATTTCAGGTCCCTGACGTCGAAGGAAAGGTTAAGCACGAGATTCGGGGCATTTGGAGGTCATTCGGTCGAGCTGGGAGCAAAACATGGGCAGGAGGCCTGAAGAACACGACCGTGTACACAAACGAGCACGCCAGTGTTTTTATGTGCGAGAGCTGAACTGATGGAAAAGCAAAACACGGGCTGGCCTAAAGAAGAACACGGCCGTGTCCCAGGCCGTGTTTTTTTTATGCCGAGGCTTGATTGAAGGGAGCTCCTGCGATGTCTAAAACACGGGCGGATGTGAAGCAAAACACGGCCGTGTCCATCTTTAGGCACGACCGTGTTTTGGCCGACACGGGAGTGTTTTTAACACGTGGCGAGGGCACGGGTGGGCAAAAGCAAAACACGGTCGTGCCCTCAATCGTGTTTTGCCCAGTATCGACTTTTTGAGGCAGATTCGAGCCAAAAGAGAGGGAGTCCACTTTTTCGGAGCAAAAACAGAGTTTTATAGAGAGAAAGTGCGAAGAACAAACCCTAGGAGCTATTTGGAGTGGATTTCTCACCATTGAATCCCAGATTGCATCCCTAGGAGTGAAGATCATCATCCCGGAGCAGATTATCCTCATCTTTATGAGTATGATTAATCTGATTTCTGTTTTCCTCTCTCTCTCTCTCTCTCTCTCTCTATTAAGTAGAACTTTCTCTCACATGGGTATGAAGAACCCTAGTTCCATGTGTTAGGGATCTTGATTGTAATGACTTGGGATTGTTATACTGTTTGATTTTAATCGATTGATGCATGATTTATCGAGTCAATTAAAGCCTGATCATCTTTTCTTGATTTCTGCTGCAACCTGAGATAGATAGAATCTGATTAGGTTGCTAGAGCTTCATCAATCGGTAGTGGTAGATTGATTATACGAGAGTTAATTGATTTACTGCTTTGTACTAGAACCCAATTCCAGTAGTGGAGTTCTGCGTTCATAGCCTCAGCTTTCTATCCCGGTGAAGTCTAGTCGTCTGCCGGGTACTTGGACTGAGAGGGCTTGGTCAGCTTAAGAGATTCCAAGCTACTGTCGGATCTTCCTCAGTTTAATCAATAGTTAATCAACCCAGGGTAATTACAACTGTGACCTAACTAAGGATCTATGGGGACTCATTACCGAGTGTCTCTACCCTTGCTTTAGAAAATCGAACCATTTCCTGCTTTCTTACTGCTTTTACTTAAATCAACAATCACTCGACTTAGTTTGCTAGATAATAGATATTCACGAAGTAGGCAGTAGATCTAGACCCCGGGTTAACAATTAGAGCTTGCCTGTTACTGCATTTCGGACTGCGATTACACTTGGTCGCAGTTTGGTGTTGTGTTTTCGCGTGTCAAGTTTTTGGCGCCGTTGCCGGGGACCCTCTAGGTTATTGGGGAAACGTGAAATTTTGTTACTCTAGCTTTTTCTTTACTGCATTTTCTCTCTTCCACCTGTGTGCCTTCACGGGTTGCTTTTGCTGATTGTGTGCAGATAGTGCATGACCCGTAGCCAGTCGGGAGATTTACTACCGTTAGACCAAGAGCTTAAACGGACCTGTAGGAACTTCAAGCGGGCTCTAAAGGCGCGACTGGCTGAGGAGGAGGCTCTAGCACAGCTGCAAATCGCAGACGAAGAAGAGATGGGTGGCCCACATGACCATGATGTGGTCCTTCCCGAGGAGCAGACCATGGGATATTACTGGACCGCCAGAGCTGCGTACATGAGGTCGCCCATTCAACACCCTCATGTACCAGCGAATAACTTTGAGGTGAGCACCTCTGTCATCACCATGCTGCGCGGTTCGGTGTATTCCGTGGCAAGGAGGGGGAGTGCCCCCGATCACACCTAAGGCGATTCCACGAGCTCATTGATGGGATCAAGATCAATGGGGTCCCAGCCGATGCTATCCAACTGAGGTACTTCCCATTTACTCTGGAGGGGCAAGCCAAGGAGTGGCTATACACTCGACCTCCAGGCTCGATCACCACGTTTGCCAACCTGGCGGACAAGTTCCTCACCCGCTACCATCCTCCATCCAAGACGGCAGACCTGTAGAAAAAAATTACCCACTTTGCTTAGGATGAAGATGAGACCATCCGGGATGCTTGGGAAAGATACACCAGTCTTTTCCTCAAGTGTCCCAACCATGGTTTTACCGATGCCTTCAAGGTGGGTACCTTCTACCATGCCCTCTTCCCGAAAGACAAGCAGCTGATTGACTCGGTCTGTGGCGTGAATATGCTCACCTAAACACCGCCACAGCTAAATAAAATTTTTGAAGAGATGGCAGAGCAGGGCTATGATTGGGGAATTGTGAGGAGATCGAGACTAGGGGTAGGCATTCGGTCGGTTCGGTTCAAATCGAACCGAAATAATGCATACCGGGTCCCCAAATTTCATCAAACCCCAAACCGAATTCGAACTGAATTATAATTCGGTTCGGTCGGTTCAAAACGAATTATAATTTGGTTCAGTTCGGTTGTTCATACAAAACCGAATTTGTGAGGTTATCTTGTATTGCAACTCTTTTAAATTACTTTTCACCTTAATGTGAACAATAAATATGCCATTATATGCATAAAATAAAAAATTTCAACACATAAGCCATAAAACACTAACATGATTCAAATATTTAAGTCCTATAATAAGTACAAACATAAAAATCCACCATTTGGAGCTTGCAATTATAGTAATTCGGTTATTCGGTTCGGAATTCGGAAATTCGGTTCAGTCGAAAGGACCCTGATTTCCGAAATATGCCATTTTCCCTTCCGAATTCCGAACCGAATAACATTAATTCGGTTTCGGTTCGGTTTATATTCAGTTCGGTTAGGTTAGGTTCGGTTTTACCGAACCGTATGCCCACCCCTAATCGAGACGAGCACCAGGGAGGGGTGTGCATGCTGTAGCCTCCCAGTCATCTGACTTGGTGCAGGTGGTATCGAAACTGGTTTCAGCCATCGATCGCTCTGGGATGATTTCAGGTACAGGACAGCAGCAGGAGATGCACTGCCAGTGGTGTGAGAGCTCCCATCACACCGTGGAGGACTATCAGGCGATGAGGGAGTCGTCTACTCCCTAGGAGCAGGTGGACTTCATAGGCAATGCCAGGCGCTTTGACCCCTACAATAACACTTACAACGAGGGGTGGCGCCAACATCCCAACTTCTCGTGGGTTGGGACAAATTCTAGACCACTAGTCCCCCAGGGACCACCTGGCTTTCAGAGGCCTCCTTACCAGCCAGACAAGGGCAATTTCAGCAGCCGTAGCAGCCTCCCTACCCGCCCAGACAGGGGCTAGTTCCACCTCAGTCACAGGTGCGGCCATTTCATCAGATAGGGACAGCACCCGTAGCCCTAGTACAGAGTGACCCGATGGCGGAATTATGAGATTTGGTGGGTTCTCTGGCTACCTCCAGTGCAAACAAGTTCAATAATATCGAGGAGTTCAAGGAGAAAGCTTCAGGCAAATTCTTGGAGCTAGAAGCTGGTCAGAGAAACACGCAGGCTGTGCTCCAGGATATCTAGACCCAACTTGGGAGTGTGGCCCAGGCTGTAGCCCAGAGGACTCCTGGTACTTTACCCGGTCAGACCATCCCTCATCCATAGGACCCAAATGAGCACTTCAAGGCCATTACTACCAGGAGTGGCAAGATGACTGCTGATCCACCTGTTCGGGCACAAGAGAGTGAGAACCCTGCTTCAGCACTTCCAGCTGATGAGGAGGAAATGGAGAAGGAGGTTTAGGTGCCTGCTCCTAAACCGCAACCAGTGGTGAAGGAGTATGTACCACAACTTCCCTTTTCTTCTCGGTTGCACAAAGACCGACCGGAGACTAAGTTTGCCAAGTTCATGGCAATGCTGAAGCAGGTAAACATAAGCATGCCCTTCGTGGAGGCATTATTGAAGATGCCCAAGTATGCCAAGTTCATGAAGGATCTCCTCACCAACAAGAGGAAGCTTGGGGAGATGTCAACGGTGATGCTCAACGAGGAGTGTTCTGCCATCCTGCAGAACAAACTACCAGAGAAGCGAAAAGACCCAAGGAGTTTTACTATCCCTTGCATGCTTGGTAGTTTGCATATAGGGAAGTCCTTGGCGGATTTAGGCGCTAGCATAAATGTCATGCCATATAAACTATTTAAAAAGCTAGGCCTAGGTGAACCCATTGATACTAGGATGAGCATTCAACTTGCTGATAGATCCATTGTGCATCCTAGGGGCATTGCAGAGGACTTGATAGTCGTAGTAGTGCCATTCTCATATCCTGTTGACTTTGTGATTTTGGATATAAATGAGGATGTGGATGTTCCTTTAATATTGGGTAGACCTTTTCTCGCCACCGCCAAGGTGCTCATTGATGTGAATGATGGGAAATTGATTTTGCGAGCTGGGGGTGAACAAATCACCTTCTCTGTTTCTGATAAAATGAAACACCCCCAGCTCCATGATGATCTAGACTACTGTGATGTTGTTGCTGATTTTGAGACCGCACTCGCCATCACGAGTGCGGGTACTGACGATTTCCTCGAGCTTTGTCTTTTGCTAGGGGAACTGGCATCACAGGATGTGCAGCTGGAGGAGCAGCTCGCGGAGCTAGATGAGGCCGCGATCGATGGGCGAGAGAAACCATTCAAGCCGATCCCTATCTCGCCCCGGATCGCTACATCATTGGAGGAGCCACCAGAGCTGGAGCTTAAGCCCCTCACCTCTCACCTGGAGTATGCATTTCTCCGAGAGGGGAATAAGCTCCCGATCATTATCAGCTCGGATCTGACA